GCACGCTCATCCGACATGTCCGTTTTGGTATAATGAAAAACAATCTTGTGTTTACAATTGGAAGATGATGGAGGATCATATGAGAGCTTCTTACTTCTTTCATGATTCTATGCAGCTGTTGTATCGTCATCAGGTTGCACCGGAGGAGGTTCTGACTTTTCCATCTCGGGAGGAGTTTTCTGCTTATGCAAATCACCCTGTGGACAGGCCATTCTTCCAAGAGGGGACAACAACTAATGATGCAAATAATTATGAAGAGCAAGAAAGATGAAGAAGACGTGGGGAGCGATGATGAGTTGAGCAGTTGACTTGGAGGGGATTGGTTTGCCATTATTATCATTACTTTTATGTTTTATGTTTTATTTAGTCTTTTGTTTTTAATTTTCAGACAATCATCTTGATGTTGTTCCATCCTTTTAAAGATGATGTTTTGTGGTTGTACTTTGGTTCTAATACTTTTGGAGGCATTTTATGCCATAGATGCTTTTGGTACACCACTTAGAGGTGTTTGTTTTTTTGGATTTTTAACTTTAAGGCATTATATTAGTTAGTTTAAATTGTGTATAGAGTTGATTAGTTTGTTTTAAAAAAATTTGTTAAAAAAAGCAAAAGCTTATGTTTGTTCCTTAGTTTGACAACTTTGAAGGAACCAAGTGAACTTGTACAAATGCGGTTTAACATGCAACTGAGCAGTGATGATATGAATTAAATTGTAGTAACAACTTCAAGGTACATGTCTATTGCTTTCTAAGCTTAGCATGAATATGAAACTTGTGGTTTATGCATAATGTCATATCTTTAATTCTTCTACAATACTTGTCAATTGTGAATCACTTTAGAACTTAACCTAGCGTGAGGAAGCTTTTCATTGTGCGCTAAAATGCGGGAAACAAACATTCTTGTTAACTCGGTCTTATTATATTTAATCATGCATGTGTGTTGATGTGTGAAAGTTGGAAATAATTAAAGGCATTTATTTTTTTATTGCGAGAAAAACCACTTAAACCAAATGAATAATCAATTTACCTTGAGAGTGAGTGATCACTTGTTAGCCCCAATTGAGCCTTTCTATCAAGATCCTTGTGATGGTTGAATTGTGTAAATATTGAAAATGAATAACAAATTCATCATTTAGTTTTTAGTAAGGATCTTGATTTTTGTTTGAGAAATGCGTGAATCCTCAACCTCAATGTAGTTGCTTTTATTCTTTCTTTGCCTTAGTGTATGGGAACATTCTTGATACTATGTTGGGATGTGTTCAAAGTTGGGGAGAAATATGTAGGTTGTTTGTTGAGAAAGAAAAAGTGGTTGAAAGAAAAAAGAAAAGAAAAAGTGAAGAAAAAAAAATGATTGAGAAAAATAATCAATAAAATTGAGCTCTTAAAAAGAAAAAGAATTGATAAGCCAAAGGCATAAGTTGTGTCAACGTAAGAGCTCATGGTTGTATGTTATATCTAAGAAAAGAATACATGAGGGGTAAAAATGTTTGAATTGTGTATTAGTGTGAAGAATTGAATGTTCTCGTGCGTTAGGAAATTTAGTTTCAATTACCTTGAGAAATATCCCTTCCTTGTAACCAAGCCAAATTACAACCCTTTTAATGTCTTGTGATTCTTGCTTAGCGCGTTTGATGCTTTTTGTGTGATGAATGCATGATTTGATTCAGATGTTGGCATGATTGTTGGATGAGTGAAAAAACCCTTTTTTTATTTCTCATCCGTTGATGAGTGTGTGTTTAGGTGTGGTTCATTTATGAGTTGTATTGTTTTGGAAATTTTGATATGTATTTTCCACTTAACCATTGTTTCATCCTTATGGTTGGATTTAGTTAGTGGTAAGTATTATCTTGTTTGTTCTTGTTCATTTGAAGCGTAAAATTGTCTTGTGTTAAAAGCTTGTTGTTTCCTAATTTTATGGTTTGTCTTGGTTTTCTTTTAGTTGGATAATTTTTGTTTAGGGACAAACAAAATGCTAAGTTGGGGAGAGTTGTTAAGAACCAAAATATTGATATATTTATAGACAATTTTGTGTTCTTTGCACTCTATTTTGATATTAGTAGTGTTTAAGTTTGTAAATAGATGTAAATAATCAATTATATAGTTTATGTGGTAAATTAATTTGTTTACTTAGTTTTATGCTCATTTTATAGATTTTGATGTTGGTCATTAGAGCATTGGAGCTTTGGACAAGCTAGAGCCAAGAATGAGGTGCAACAAGTAAAAAATTGAAGATTTGTTCAGGCTAGTGTGCTAAGCGCAAATTGCAGTGCACTTTAATGTTTTGCGCATTTGACATAATGGCATATTTTTGGGCCCGCTTAGCGCGGTCCACTGAGTCAGGAAAAAAGATATTTGCGTTGAGCCCGCTTAGCGCGTTCTGGCCGCTTAGCGGGATTCACTTTTTGGACACTTGCATAAGTAGCATTCTTTGTGATATTTTGGCCACCAACTCTTATCAAACACACAAAAGTCAGATATTTAGGGCTAAGAAATATTTTTTATCCTTTGTAACTCAAGATCAAAGATTTCTACCTTAAATCTTTGATATTTTCTAGTTGATATTCATCAAGCTTCATACTTTACTTGTTGATCAATCTACTATGGTGATGGGTAGCTAAATCCTTCTTTGTGTCAAGATTAGAGGTAGATAACCTTCATCTTTGTATGTATTAAGCTTGATCATTTGTATGTGAACATGTTGATGATAAATATATGGTGAAAATTCTTGTTTTATGGTTTATATTTGAGTTGATTATTATTGAGAAATATGTTCATCTCTTGACCTAAGTTTTCACTTATCAACGAACAATTTCTAGATATAGTTTTGTGAGTTGATATTCACTAATATTGAGCTTTTAAAGTTATCAAGTTGATAGTTAGGTAGAGAGATCATCTAATGATCAATTTGATAAAACTCATAATTTGTTTTAGAGATGAAACATCTTGACAGGATATGTGGTTATGTTTATTGTTAATGAGTTCACATACTTGATTGAGAAAATATGTTCGAAAGAGATTATCGAGTCCTAATCTTGACACGCTTTTACCAAACATTTTTAAAACCAAAACTTTGTGTTTCCCTATACTTGATACTTTGCATGAAATCGATATTTTCCGTTACTAAAATCAAAATCAAACCCTTTTATGAAACTTAAGCTTAAAACGATTATAATTGTAGGATGACGCTAAATATCACACCAATCTCTGTGGATAACGATAATTTAAATACTTGCCCTGTAAAGTGCATTTCAACAAAGACCAAATCTAAAACATATGTCTTATGAACTATACAAAGGAAGAAAGCTGAATATCTCTCACTTATATTTTTTTGGATGAAAATGTTGTTTTCTTAACAATGGGAAAGATAACTTCGGAAAATTTGATTTTGCAGGTATCTTGGAAAAAAACAAATCTGGAGGAAAATGATCAAGAACCAGACCAAGGCTAGAGTGAAAATCAAGTTGAAGCACCGACCCAGGATCAAATCATAGATACTTCACGTGAGTCATCTCAAATTGTTTTCTCAACGTTTGCAACTTCACCTTCTTCAGTTTTTCATCTCTGTCGTACAAGTTCTTTAACTTGTCACACACTCCTTTGATTCCTCTTCAATTATCTTCTCAAATACGTTAGGATCCACACACTGGTGAATCAAGAACGAAGTTTGTACATCTTTCTTCCTTTGATCCTTATGCACACTTTTTGATCATCATCTGCATTCGCTTCCAATGTCAGTACTTCATCATTCATGATTTCAGACACTTCTTGAAATCTGAAGATGACTTTCATATGCGTAACCTTCCTCATGTAGTTTTCACCTTTGAAAATCGGTAGATTCGCTAGAAATTATGATGATGTTGTTGTTCCTTTTGTCATTACATATTTTCTCTGAATTGCAACCCGGACTCCTTGATACCAATTTGTTGGGACAAAAGGATTTTCAAAAAATATGAGAGAAGAAAAGAGAAAAGAGAGAAAGAGAATAGGAGAAAACTATTATGAATTTTGTAAAATTGTGATTGATAAATTTTGTTACAACATAATACCTTATATAAACAATTAATGTCCATATACCTAAATTATACAAATCGACTCAAACCCAAAATATATAAATTATATTTTAGCTTCGACAGAACAATTTAAATAATATATTTGATTCTGTCGAATATAACTAACTCCTACAACTCGACTAACTCAAACACAATGTATCAAATACAAAACATTAAATTACGACTTCTATTTTTTATCAAAATTATGGTTTCCCCACCAACATCATCATCTCAAAATGTGCAAAAATGAAATCACTTATTGCATATTATAAATTCTAGAAGTATATTCTTCTAAACTCTTAAAATTTGAGTTGTTTTAGATATGATTGGTTTCATGACATATTGTTAAGAAAAATGTATAAAAATTACACATTAGAATGCCTAAATACACGCAAGTTTTTGATGGACTCAGGTATTGATTTTAAGTAACAAAATATATGGAAAGAGTCTAACATGAAACAATTTAGTTAAATTAGAGGATTAAGTGCGGAAAATTATTAAGTTTTATTGAATTATTAATAAAAAGTACTTTAGATGAAATTAATAATTTAAAATATAATAATATGAATTAACATAATTTAATAGTTTGATGTCTTAAAATATATATTTTTAATAAAATTAAAAAAAATAAAAAATCATATAAAAAAATAGTAAAATATATAAAAAGAATGTTTTTAATTTGTTATTATTGAAATAGAAAAAATCCATATTAACAACCAACAATTTAAAAAAATAAATGTAGATATTGAAGGTAATATATCCTAATAAATCATGACTTTGTAAAAATAACAAACATTAACTTTTTTACTTTAGATTTTTGTGATTTTAAATTATTTAAATTGATACATAAATCTATATTCTTTTTTAATTTAATCCATACGTCTATTGAACCAACAATTATCTTAAAATTTGCATTTACTTTTTAGTTGCAGATATGAATTCGAGTTCGAAAATGTGTGTTGCAAATCCTATAAGAAAATTGATCAAATGCGTTATTCTTGATTTGGATGGCACCTTGCTGAACACAGATGGCATAGTTTGCAACGTTTTGAAGGTTTCGTTAGGTAAGTATGGTAAAGAATGGGATGGAAGAGAAACCCTTAAAATTGTGGGGAAGACGCCTTTTGAAGCTGCAGAAGCTGTTGTTCAAGATTATGGACTTCCTTGCTCGCCAATCGAATTTATTTCCGAGATTTCGCCGCTATTCTCCCATCAGTAAGTATCTTTTAACTCTAGAGAATCCACTTTTTCAGGGAGGGGATTTTTCTCTCAAGTTTTTCGGTGATTCTCGTGTTAGGTGGTGTAATATTAAAGCACTCCCTGGTGCCAATCGGTTGATTAAGCATTTGAAGAGCAATGGAGTTCCAATGGTCTTAGCATCAAACTCTCCACGGGAAAGCGTTGACGCCAAAATATCCTTTCACCACGGTATTGATTTATTTCAGAAAGCTTAATCTTCTTTGTATTCCTTTTCTCATTGTTTTAGCTAGTTCCTTAGATTATATTCTTTCCATGTAGGATGGAAAGATTCTTTCCATGTCATTATTGGGGGAGACGAAGTTCGGACAGGGAAACCTTCCCCTGACATGTGAGATGCAAAAATATGTTTTATTTATCCTTCGTTACAAGTAACATTATTTTCTTTTGAAAACTTCAAATTGTGATTTATCGTTTCAGATTCTTTGAAGCTGCTAGGAGGTTACGCGTGGAGCCTTCCAGCTGTCTTGTGATTGAAGACTCTCTGTGAGTGTTCTTCTGTTCTAACTTTGTTTGATTCTGTTGATGGTTAAACCTTCTGTTGAAAGTTTTGCCCCATTTTTTTTTTTAAAACTATCTACTTGGCTACTTCAGACCTGGTGTTACTGCCGGTAAGACTGCTGAAATGGAGGTGGTTGCTGTACCATCACTCCCGAAACAGTCTCATCTCTTTACTGCAGCAGATGAGGTCATAAATTCCCTACTCGATTTGCAACTTGAAAAGTGGGGTCTACCACCATTTACCGATTGTAAATCCTGAATACCTTCAGATAATATTGTGTTTGTGCATCTCCTTTATTGGCATGACATTTTCATTTGAACTAGTATTATAAATTATTGCAGGGGTGGATGGAACTTTGCCGGTAGATCCTTGGTATATTGGTGGTCCTGTCATCAAGGGATTTGGTCGTGGGTCGAAAGTACTCGGGATTCCTACAGGTTCGTTTTCAATTTTCACCGTTTTCTTGTGCTATATGGCATGAAGCTGAAACGTAGAGGAGCCAAAAGATGGGTAATTCAATATGATGCCCTGAGGTTTATCGCAATTATATTTAGTGATTGCTTGTTTTATTAGAAGCTTGAGATTCTGATTTTGAAACTCCCCCCTGAGTATGAGGATTATGCCATCTTAAACAAATTTAGGCCTATTTGTATACAAAAGCATTCTATCAAAAAAAGTTAAAAGATTTATCTTTTTTTTTTTCTCTGCACCTCTTCCTCCAAAGCCCTATTGCTCCCCTCCAAACTTCCAAAGAGAGTCTAAGGGTATTGGTGCACTATTTTTTCAGCTAATTTGTCGACAAAGGACTATTCGGATCTCCTTTCAGAGCATCCTGCAGGAGTTTATTTTGGTTGGGCTGGATTATCAGCAAGAGGTGTTTTTAAAATGGTGATGAGCATTGGCTGGAACCCATATTTCAGCAACAAAGAAAAGACTATAGTAAGTTGTTTATTTCAGACCTCCGCTATAACTATTTACCTCAGAATTTTCATATGATTTATGTTTTTCCTTTAGGAACCATGGTTGCTTCATGAATTCACCGAGGATTTCTATGGGGAAGAACTGCGTCTGGTTATAGTTGGTTACATACGTCCTGAGGTATAGCTGCCTACAACATATCTGCGTCATGCTTGTCTTGTCTTGTTCTTCATCTTTTGAACTGTGCATTACAGGAAAATTTTCCATCCCTTGAAAGCTTGATTGCTAAGATTCATGAAGATCGCATAGTTTCTGAGAGAGCTCTTGATCTTCCTATGTATTCAAGTCATAAGAATGATTCATATTTGAGAAGCTCATAGTACTGCTTTTATTAGCTTCTTTGGAAGAAACCTCTGCATTTGTACTAGTGCCAGTTTGGTTGTATTATTCCCTGTGATTCTCAATCACCACTCACCATAATACAATTAATTTGTAACATGCTTAAATAATCATGAAAAGACCACTATTTCATCTTATTAGAGTGTAAAACAAGTAGATTATATATTTGTAACTCTATAAATTCTATGTTGATCATTATTAAATAAGAGAAGAGTTTCTATCACTCATTTTATTTCAACAATATGGTAGTATCAGTTACACACCATTGAGAGTTAGTTGCAACACTTTGAGTGCTTTGAGTGTTTCTATTTCCTTGACTCATGGTCATCCACCAGTTGAGTCTTCCTCGGATATTATATGTACTACATCTTATTCATTGCGCACTAAAAATGATTTAAGATTTTAGATTATGGTGCTAATGATCATGTTTGCTCATTCACTCAAAATTTTGAGTTTATTTTACAAAATTAAACATGTCAATGTGATTTACCTAATGGTAAATTAGTCTTAGTTCAATATATTGATGTTTTCTTTTCACCCTGCCTATACCTCAACAATGTCCTTTTCTCACATGTTTTTTATCTAAACTTAATTTCAGTTTCAAAATTATGTTAATCAATATATTGTTCCATTAAATTTTCTGATCATCAATGTATTTACACGATTTAAAAACTAAGAAAGTGATTTGTTTGGGTAATCAAGTGGAAGACATATATAGACAGCAGATACATGCACATGTTCTTGATGTTTAAGAAACTTCCACTCATTTGTCTTAATCCATAAATAATGTAGCAATTCAAAATAATGTAATTTCTTTTACTGAATTTTGACATTTTAGGTTAGACCATGTTTTAAATAAAAGACGCTTATATGTCTCAATTATGTCTTTCCTTTTCATTTAATAAGAAAATTAGTAAGAAATCCGTGCTATCACACAGTTCCTGTTTAGATTCATATTACATGTCTATCAAATTATTATTTATAAAATTTGTCTTTATTTATTCAGTTAGTTGGCATTCACATTGTTACAACTTATAATAATTGATACGTACTTATAATAAATCGTACAACAGATTCTCTAACTTTAATTATATAAAATAGAAGAAAAACAAAGTTTTAAAAGATGAACATTAAAATAAATATTCTACCATTTGTATCTCATAGATATGTTCACATGTACCCTTGCATCTATCTTTGCAAGGGCTTTTATTATGAGGAACAATCTTCCGTTGTTAAATTGAGAAATAAAAATAAGTCTTAGATAAATATAAGAGAGGGTATTAAGTCTTTAATGTTAATCGGATTTTGTTAAAAAGGTTCTTCAATTTAGTAATAAATGAATTATGTAGTGAATTAATATAAAACAATAACAAAGAGAGATTTAAAAATATGAACATTAAAATGAACAATTTACCGCTGGTATCTCATATATACGTTCACATCTACCTGTCTTGATATACATTACACGTCGCCTACTCTCATTTTTCAAGTTTTGATTCATTTTTTCAGTTGGTTAACATTTACATAGTTACAAACTCATATTCAACCATAATTTGTCCATAATGCCCTTAAGATTAAGTTAGATAAACATGATTACAAAAGAGTTTAGTGGTGAATTCCAGTGAATTTTATTTTAATAGATGGATATCAAATAGATAGATAGATATTAGATTAGATAGAAAGATTAATTAAAATTTTAAAAAATAATTTGACTTTTTAAATATTAGTGAAAATATATTTATCAATTTTTATTTTACCAATAAAAATTTAAATCATTAAACTAATATCTGAAATATTAACTCTATATTTAAACCAATATCTGGATATTAACTATATGTTTAAACTAACATTTGAATCATTAAACTAATAACAGAATTGAAAATTCAAATAGAAAATAAGTCCAAACTATAATCAAAAGATAATATTAAAGTCATATCAAATATAAGTGTGCTCTTTACTTAGTGCTATAGTAACGCATGTTAATGTGGATTCTAATTATTGATAACAGTGGCTACTCTTTCTTTTTTTTGGTTTACTCAGTATTATCTTCTAAATTTTAAAATATAAAATTGACAAATAATAAAAAAATAGAAATAAATATATTAAGATCTTTATTTAAGCATGACGGAATATGATATAGAAAGCGGTCAACATCCTTGTTTAAGCATAATAAGATGAAGGACTATATTAGATAAGTTATGACTACTTAATTTATGTAACAAACAAATATGAGGTTAGACTAAAAACTTCTTATAAGGTGTAAAAAGTATGTATAAATTCATATTTGAGCTAAGTTCTTACTATTTCTTATAAATAAGAACAATTTTAATGATGATAATCCAATGTCAACATTGTAATCAGTTTAAATATTCATATTATATACACATGAATTAATGGCAGATTGTTTAGGGGTAAAGAAATTAGTTGTAGTAATTCCCACCACATATTTTTCAAAATAAAGCCTATTTTAAGAGGTTTTGTTGCTGCTAACTTCATGACTCAAATGTTTGAGATGCATATAAGTTTTCCTGCAAGATAAATACTTAATGGTTTGCACATTTGCATTAGTTAAAGCTAACAAAACATGAAAACATAATTTAATTGGCACGGAAATATCTAAGAAACAAATTATTCATTAATGCTTTAGTTCATAACTAAGTACAACACTTTAGGATATAATCATACTTCAACTGTCAGAGAAAATATTAACACAAATAACAACAAATATTGAAGAACTTGAATATGTTTAATTAACACACACTACTATGATACCATGAATAATTAATCTCAAACCTTTCTATCTCTATGAATCAAATTATATTGTCAATAAACAAAACTGAACCAAGAACACCGGGTAACAAATACCTTCTTTGACAATTCCATATAAGGAAATGAAAGAGAAACATAGTCAAGTAATATAACTATATTATGAGTTTCTTCATATTCAACATCATTGTTATCAAATCCTCCATCAACACCTACAGACCAACACGTTGAATTAACCTGTGTTATCAACAAAAGCATCATCCGTTGTTTTAATAAATCAGAAAAAGAACCAACAAGAAAACTGTACGACTATAGACCAAAATCAAACATGGATAACATTAACAAACACATAGTTCGAATTGACTTATATGAACTTATCTATCGACATAACCATTTGTGAATCTGTTTGAGAAAGCGTATGATATGTTCATAAGACATTTCCATGAGCTCTCCAGAATAACTTATAGCTTATATAGAAAAATGGTGGGCATACTTGAGATCAACTTCACTATCCTTTGTGAAGGCACGTGAGTTTATATATTCAATTTTTGTTTCCAAAAGTTTAACATCTCTCTCCTTTTCATTGCCTAATAAACTAACAAAAAGCCATTAAATGTCCAGCAGATATTTCTCACATTCAAACTTCTGAACAACAACACCAGAAAGTTTTTTGTAAATAACTAAGTAAACACAAGAAATCCATAACACACATTTGTCAAAAAAAATTAAGCAATTGAGTATATATGAGATTTGGCAGAAAATCAGACGCATTCGACTTAGTTGTATAATACACTTCAAATGAGGCAATACATGTATATAATAGTCAATTTATTTTCAAGTGATATATCAACTTTAGTGAATAAAAATAACATGTTTTCTGAGAGAATCTCACACTTATGAAGGTGTGCACTTTTCAGATTAGGACAACCCTTTCCGACAACTTCAACCCAACATCAATTACTCCTCCGAAGGATAAAATTCCTCTAAATGATGCAATTGTGACTAACTTCAGCGGTTGCGAACTTGATTTCTCATTATTGGAAGTAGACTCTGTTTCTTCGTACCTCAAAGGCGAACTCCAAAACCTACTTGCAAGAGAAGTAGATTTGTATGAAGCGGATTTGCACCGGGTTAATAGTAAAGCGTTCAAGGGAAGAATATTCTTGAGTTGTTTCAATGGTGTTGTTGTTGTTTTTCTTCCAGAGAACGGTCATGGGGCTTGATTTTGATTTTCTGCTTCTACTTGATGCATTAGTTCTTAGTCATTGAAATAATGGTGGAGAGAATTTATCTATGCAAGTTGGACTTGAAATGGTTTTTTTATGGTATCTTCATGTTTTAATTTTAATGCATTTTGACAATAGTTATTGATCATGAAAAGTTGTGTGACTGTTCATTCTCCAAGTATTTGATTTTGCTTTTGAATGTCTTTTTCCATGTTTTTTTGCTGAAGTTTAATAGACAATTGAAGATTAATTAGAGGTTAATAAAATAAACTAAAAATGAGTATGAAAAATGGAGTGATGACACATCAGTAATAGTAAATATCAAGTCAATATAAGTGAAGCAAGCTTTGAATAAGACAATATTAACCCTGAAATTAAAAAAGTATGTACATAATCTCAGAAGGGTAGATGTGGTTTTTTCAGATACTTTAAAGTTTATATATTTATATTAGACTACTTGTGACACATGTCACTTTATTCGACAAAGAAAATTGCTTTTTAATATTAGTACGTCCTCTCCTTCTATTATTCACTTTGATATTTGAGGCGTTGTTGTTTTTGGATTTTGCAAAATAGTCACAGAAAAAGTTATTAGAATGAGTCGCATAACGGTTCACTATTTTAAAAATATTTTGCGGCACTGTCCATAATAGAGAAGAAAAATTTGAAGAAGTGAAAATAGAAGAAAAGAGAGAGAGAGAGAGAAATTTGAAGAAGTGAAAATAGAAGAAAAGAGAGAGATTTTAGATTGTGAAATCTAGTGTGAGAAATTGAGTTTGGGAAGCCTTTATTTATACGCAATAATCTGAATGAAGTGGGAGGAAAATGTGGGAGATAGTGGACTGAGCCTAATCAAAAATTAAGTCACGACTAACCTTTTTTACTTGGTCAACAAGGAAGAGCCGAAACTTGGAAGTTAAGAAAACTCAGTGAAAAATTAGGTTAAGACTAACATTTGGTAGAAGACACGTCAATATTAATTAATTAAA